TTTTATTTTATTTTATTTTATTTTATTTTATTTTATTTTATTTTATTATTTTTTTACTTGCTTTCCACTGCTTATATTTTCTGACGGAATCGGAAAACCGTTAGAAACCCTGAAGCTCGGAATTCGTGCTTCTCTAAACTTTTTTCCGTCTAGAGAGGCACAGGAGCCTTTAACATAGCGGCGCAGAAAAGCCAATCAGCGACCTCTAAAACCGACGACCAATAATCGTTCAGGAAATCGTGACGCGTGCCCCGTCTCGTTACTCTGCAGAGGCCATTTTGAGTGCTGGCCCCTGCCCTTCCCAGCTGTTTCATTGCTCGCCTCATGCTGCGGCCGGCGCTGGCGGCGCTGGCTCTGGGCTGGGCGGTCGCCTGGCTTGCGGCTCGCGGCTTCGCTCCCTGGTGGTGGCTGGGGCGGAATTGCAGCGGGGAAGCGGTCCTAACTGCCGCCGAGCTGAGCCGTTACACGGGCACCGAGGGAAGCCCGGGACTTTACCTGGCCGTGTTGGGACAGGTATTCGACGTGCAGCAGGGGCGCAGGCATTACGGCCCCGGAGGCGCTTATGGCTTCTTCTCAGGTACTTCGCCTCCCCGTTCCTCTTTCCCACCAGGCCCGGGTAAAGGGGGTGAGCTTTTCTCCCCCGCGCGCGTGTGCGCGGTGCAGGGCGTGCAAATAGACGCGATCTACACGTATACATTAAAATTAGAAGAGTTGGACTTAAAACTTTGAATGTGCACTAATCGGCATACATTAAAATGAAATTTCGTTGCATACAGCCCTCAAAGGGTCTCCACCTCCAATGTACACTACATAAACAAAAGAAAATAAATACAAAATTAGAATAGAATAGAATAGAATAACAGAGTTGGAAGGGACCTTGAAGATCTTCTAGTCGAGCCCCCTGCTCAGGCAGGAAGCCCTATAGCATTTCAGACAAATCGTGCCTACCGTTCCTGTCTTTTTGTCCCCATTTATTTGTCCCCATTTATTTCCTGTATTCTTACTAATGTTTATACTTACACTTATTATTTGTAACCAATTGACAAATCAAATAAACAAAATAAAATAAAATATCTTCTTAAAAACTTCCAGTGTTGGAGCATCCACAACTTCTGGAAGCAACTGGTTAATTGTTCTCACTCTTGGGAAATTTCTCCTTAGTTCTAGGTTGCTTATCTCTCCTTGATTAATTTCCATCCACTCTTTCTTCTTCTAGCCTTCTGGTGCTTTGGAGAATAGCTTGACTCCCTCTTCTTTGGAAGAGAGATTATCCTATTTTCCTCTTTCCAAGGGGTCTGATTGAAAACTGAAATGTCAGGATTGACATTCCAAGCTCCATCACACTCACCTCGACATTTTTGTTTCAGAATATAAAGCACAACCATTGATGGATGAGGTGCCATTAGGTCATTGTTGACTTCTAGCAACCAAATAGACCCCCCCTCCCCCGATTATCTATTCCC